ATATACAAATGGCCCATGAAAAGATGCTCAACACCATTAGTCATTGGGGAAATGCAAACTAAAACCACCTTGAAACACCTCAGCACACCAGCCAGAATGGCCACCTTTAAAAAGACAACACCAAAAAGAAGTGTGTATAACTTATTCACTTTGCTGTACAACTGAAACTAACACAACAATGTAAATCAACTAGACTCCAATACAATTTTTGAAAAAAGACAATGCTGACTTTTGGCGAGGATATAGGTAAACTGGAACACTTGTACACTGCAGGTAGGAATGTAAGATTGTACTTTGGACAGTTTGGCCATTTCTTTAAAAGTTAAACATAAACTTACTATATGACCCAGCAATTCCACCCTGGAAATCTGAAGGGAATGCAGACATGCCCACACAACACATGCTAACATTTTGCATAAGAACCAAAACATTGGAAATAACTGAAATAATCAACAGGTAAATGGGTCAGCATTTACAGTATTAATAAAAAGGAAAAAAGTGCTGATATATGCAAAAATATTATGCCAGACATAGAACACTGCATAGTGTGTGAGTCTGTGTATATGCAGTGTCCAGAAAAGGCAAATTCTTAAAGACAGAAAGCAAACCAGTGGTTGCTTAAAGCTGGAGGTTGGAGTGAGGATTATGTGCAAATGGGCACCAGGGAACTTTCTGGAGTGATGGAAATGTTCTCAAACCACAGGTGGTAATGGTTGCACAGTATGATGGTACATAAACTATGCCTCTGTACTGGGGGGAGAAAGCAGAATTGCTAATGATACAAATGTGTCTACCTTACCTGTATTTGTTGAAGCCTCGGGTTCCCTCACAAAGTTTTGAGATTTATTAAAATTGACCAAAAATATACTTAATAGATTATTCAAGACTTTTCTCCAAACTTACCACTTTTCTAGGTCCCGTGTGAAGTTTGAACATTGCACATGCTTGACTAGAAGACCACCTGGATCCATTATACTCCAGCTGAATACACAGCAGAAAAGGAGGGTATGAGAGCTTAAACCCCAAATCCATACCCCATTGTCCTGTAAGTCTGACAGAGCAGTTTGAAATCTCATTCTTTTCCCAAGAGGACACGTTCAGGTGGGCTGTCCTTCAATGAATCTTTCTCTGGGTGACAAAACTGCTGGTTTACCCACCCATGTCCTTTGTACACATTAAAGGACCAGAGTATTCTCTCAGTTCCTTTTGGAAACTCACTTCACCATCAACAGATAACATTCGACTCATCAGCCCGTACTAAAGGACTCTCCTTGTTATCTGATGTTTCAAGAATATTCTCCCCTTCTTTGTAGGAACAGGAAGACAATGGGATTAAGGTAAGACAGGCTTCTGATTTTAGTTAAATTGTCTAGATCTGCCTTTATTTGCAGCCACTGCATGAAGATACCCAAATACAGCTCCTCCTCAGGGAGTGACTTTTAAACTCTAAGTTTCAGAGCTGGTAAGGAGAACTAGCTGAGGACTCTGCAGGGCAGACAGCTTGTCCATGGAGATCAGAATGATGGTGTCCATTCAAGGAGCACTTACACTGCTAAGTCACTCAGTCACGGCCGACTCTGCACCCCTGTGGGTTGTAGCCCACCAGGCTCCTCTGTCCATGGGATGTTCCTGGCAAGAATACTAAAGTGGGTTGCCATGCCCTCCTCCAGGGGAATCTTCCCACTTACACTAAAACTACCTAAACCAGATGTGACCAGACATGTGGACACTGTTCTGTTCAGTCCTACCAAACAATCACCTCCCAGCAGAGATGGGCAACAGGAGAGGCGCAGACAGGAAGGAAGGACACCAAGGATCAGCTCCTTTATGCTGAACCCAAATCACAACATATTCATAGGAGTTTTCACTTAACCCTTAACTGTAGGAACTAAGAGTAATGAAGTCCATCTTAGAGTCACACCAAATAAAAACTGTGTCAAGAGACACAAATGGGAATGTGCAGAGCTGGGTCTTTAGACTCCAAACCAGTCACCTGATCAGAAGCTTGAGAGTCTGGGGAGATGCCAGCATTGAGCCAGACCCTGGGAACACAGTGGCCATCAAGACAGACACCACTCACTGTCCACGCAGCTTAGAGCTCTAGTGATGGTGAATAAAAATTCACAAAAATAAATAGCAATTACAAACTAAGATTTACTCAAGAAATTCGGTCCTCTTTCTATCAAGAGGATATCACCTCTCAACAACCATGTTTAATGATCAGCAGAACTTATGCACTCCCCCGCCCTGAAGATGTCACTGTAGGTGTTGGTGACGGAGTATACACAGTATACACTGTTTCTGTATTTGTTGAATGAAATGTTTCTTCTCCAAAGAGAAAACGCACCACAGAGTTCAAATGTGATTTCTTTATTTTCCTGTCTAAGAGGTTCAGAGAATGGATTGACACATATCATAAGCTATCTCCCACCCATATACAGTAGATAAACACTGATTCTACTTTTTCTTTTCCCCTGATAGGTGACACTTTCTTTGTTCAAACCAAATTACAAATGAAGAGATACTATAAAGATAAAAGGGTGTGTGGGTGTAGTCTTTTTATTCTCAGACAGTAAATGTATACCCATCACCACAAGGGGAAAAGCACTGAGGAAACATTTGTACTAAACAGGACCCTCAGAGTACCTCTCCAAATAGCAGATTGGAACACTTGGCCATTACTATCAAGGAAGTTCCTAGTCTTCCATTCTTCCTGCCATCACATTTGCTACACTGGAATTTAAGCCCACTTCAGAGTGCAAATATAAAAGTGATCAAAGTCAGGGTTTTATGGCAATCTTTGCTAAAGTTTATTCTTGCTAAAATATATTCTATTTTAATATACATGCTATAAAAGTACACTAAAAAGGTCAATCTTTAGAGCTCTGTTAAAATCAAGAATTTTTTTTACATATAGAATAATATACACCCAACTCTAAAAGTATATTTGAGGATAGCTATTACTGTGACCCCAAATATTTCTAGCTTCAGATTTTGTTTATAATAGTATCAATTTTATAATACATGTATTCAGTAATGCTCTCATAATTCTATATCGCAATACTTCACTCATCACTAAAGGAAAATGCAGAGGGAACTGCATTTTGTCCAAGAAGTTCTTATTGTGCAAATCACCAAGTTTTCAACAGAAGTTCCTATTACAATATTTTTTAAACTTTGGTAAGTAAAGTTATTTTATGATCCACATCTGGGGCTTTTAATGCAGCAAGTAAAAACGAGCAATGTTGAAAATTAATCTGAAGGTAGCCTGATTAAAAGGGATCACTTCCTTCTGTAATAACATATCCAGGGCCAATTCTAGGTGTTTATGGAATAGTGTGAAATAACGCTGACTGCACACATCCAGTGGTGATGAACTGACCGAGTACATGCCAAACCAAGACATTAGACTCTTGGGACTGAGTTAACTCTCTCCACCATGATCATGTAGTACACGTGATGAGGCTGCTGGTTATACATTACATCCGTGGGACCCGGGCACATCGGCAACTTGTTTATTTTAAGTAGACTTGTAGAACAGAAATATAAAATAATTGAAATTTGTTTCTGATTTAAACAAAAATACGTGCTCTTTTCATTAACAAAACATTCTTTAAAATATATCAACTTCTCCTCTCCGAACATTTAGCCAAGGAGCACTAGGCAATTTTTGAAGGTTTTTGTGCTGACCATTGAATACAGTAAACACGGTTGTAGTGAGCACACAGCAACAGCAGATTACTGACATCCACTGAGAAGAAATGTATTCTCCTCTGGTTACAGTGTCCAGTCCACCGAAGGAAAGGTTTGGCATTCGTGTGCTTTTTGTTCTTGGTGGGAATCACTTCTGCTTGATTTTCGTTGTTGGAAGGAAAAAAACACCAGCTAAAGGGTTTTGTGACATGATGTGAAAGAGGAACGTGACAAAAATTAGCTGCTACCATGGAGCCCGTCTGGGATGGGGTTTCCAGGCAGATCTCGCTTCCTCCCAGGGGAGTGTCCGGTGGGCTATAAGAACCCAGGCGTGTGGAGCCGCATCGTGGTGGTGGGGGCGTTGCTCTCAGCAGACCACCCCCTGCTCTGCCTCGGTCATCGCCCCTCCTCACTACCCTACATACTGACGCTCGTGGGTACAGAACTTACGGAGACCAGCTCACAGGGAAACGAAGGCAGAGAGAGAGCTCAACCAAGAGGTAGGCTGTGCGTGCGCCATCATCCAGCGCTGCCTCCTGACCGCCTGTCTGTTGAGATAATGGTGGGGCATGCGCACATCCGTTCTTCCCAGCGGAATTCTCCAATTTCTCTTGAAAGCTTTTGAGAAGATCCTGTTTTTTTCCAAATCATTTTATCAAAGTAGTCTGGTGTCGGCTCTTTCGAGCAAACCAAGTGGTAGAAACTTCAGCCCCTCTCTCTTGAATTTCAAACCTACCTAAAAGTGGAATGTTTTCCCCTGGCAAATAATTACTTCTTGGAAAGTGGACAATTTTTCTTTTTTTGGATCCAAGTCAGCCCTTCAGAAAATACTTCACACTGAAAGAGGAGGAAGTGGAGGAGAACTAGCTTCCTATTGTGCCTTACATAAAACATTTTGCTGAAAATTAAGAACGGCTCCGACTACAAAGGTAAATATTTGTGAAAAGGGTGCACCGCCAGGTGAAACCTCAAGACATCCTCAATGTACTCATTTCATAGTGTGTGACTCTTCAAAATACAAGTCTTTAAAGTGACGAAGCCTAGCAAGTAATGGGAAGGAAGTTAACATCAGAAAATACACTTTAGAAAAAGTACAAGACATTTTGCCCTCCATTTGCTACTTATTTCATAACTTAGATCAAGAAAGTGTTAAATATTCACAGTAATTTCAGAGAGGAAACATTCCTGTCTGTAAAACTTCAATCCATTGCATTTTCAACCGTTTCTCTGTACAATTACAAAAATGTCGTCTGTCAGTGCTTTCCTGTAGAATTCTTTATTGTTAGTCCATCCCTCTCCGGCTCCAATTATACCTTCAAGGTGGGCTGTAGTATTCCCTTCTCGATGAGATGTGTCTTCAGCGTTTTATAGATATTTAACTGCTGTTCTGGTTGAAGCACCAGCAGCTGCTGCAGCACTTTGCTGGGATTCGGACCCCTGGGAACAGCGGAAAAGACAAAGTTCACGCTATTTTGGGAGAGCTGACTTGTATTTAAAATAAACCATGCCTTTAGGACTTCCCTGGTGGCACAATAGGGGCTCAGACAGGAAAGAATCTGCCTACAGTGCAGGAGACCTGGGCTTGATCCCTGGGTGGGAAAGATCCCCTGGAGAAGGGAATGGCTCCCCACTCCAGTATTTCAGATTCTATGGACAGAGGAGCCTGGCGGGCTACAGTCCATGGGGTCACAAAGAGTCAGACACAACTGAGCAACTGACACTTTCCCTTTTGGTGGTACAGTGGACAGAGATCCGCCTGCCAATGCAGGGGACACGGGTTCAACCCCTGGTCTGGGAAGACTGCACATGCCGAGGAGCAGATAAAGGCTGTGCACTAGAGCCTGTGCTCCGCAACAAGACTCCGCCGTGAGCAGCCCACGCACCGCAACTAGAGAAAGCCCGCACGCAGCAACCAAGACCCAGCACCACAAATGAGTATTTTTAAAAGATAAAACAAGTCATGCATTTACGTGCAAAGGATCAATCTTAACAAAACTGAAACAGTTCTTCCTCAGAGCTCACTTTAATATTAGTGTCAGAGGAGAAAAAAAAACCTAGAACTCTCCGCTGAGAGGAGTGCAGTGTAGATGTGGGGGAAATGCAGACGCACAGAAGACAGGGACAATGTGAGGCAACTGATGGAGTGCAGATCTAAAAATTCCACAAAACTTCTCCAAAGGGCAACCTGAGTTAGAGGCGAAGGCTGATAAAAAAGCCTGAGATTGGACAACACACAGAAGCCATTCTGTAAGGAAAGGAGCACAGTTCCTGGTGGATGAAGATAAACTAGAAGAAAACATGAAAATATAAACATTTTTGCTTCAAAGAAACGTCAGACAAGGAAGGTGTTTTGTTGAAAGAATACCCTCAGGGAGCTATGAATGTTCAAGAGACAGGACACAAAGTCCTGAGCCAGCACTGAGGCCACCACCTGGGATCTACAGTGGGAACAACAGCCTTTGTTCAAAGGTCTTGGGTAAACCCCAACAACAGAAACAAATAAAAGGGGCTCTGCTTCAGCTGTGGTGCCAGTGGTGAAGACTGCCTGCCAATGCAGGAGTTGCAAGAGACTCCAGTTTGATTGCTGGGTTACAAAGATGCCCTGGAGTAGGAAATGGCAACCCACTCCAGTATTCTTGCCTGGAAAATTTCATGGACAGGAGCCTGGCGGGTTACTGTCCATGGGGTCATAAACAGTTGGACGTGACTAAGGACGCACACTCGCACCCACCCTGCGTTAGCTGAGAGAAGGACAGGGAGCTGGAGAACCCTGCCTGCCTTATCCGCCGTGCCCAGCAGTCCCGCTCCCACCGGGGAGGAAGTAAGCCCAGGCAGCGTTAAGTGCCCACTGGGCTGTGACTGCTCTCCACCACGTACCACACAGGGGCCTCTCCCTGGGCTCCGCCAACATCCCCACTCCAGCCCTTCTCTCTGCACCCTCCTCTGGTGCACCTGCATCGGAAAAGGTCCCGACCAGGACTCCCATCCTCACACTCTTCCATCCTGAGACACTGTGACAGGCAGGGGAGTGCAATTTCCTACCTTTTGGACTCGAGCACTCAATCCATTTGTAAGCTACAGGTCACTTTCTGTACTTACACTGCTAAAGTGCTATTCTGTCAACTTCAGAATGTACCTCATTCAGATCATAATGCATATGTACTGTTCTTTGCAATTCCTACAGTCCACTTGAACAGGAAAAGCAGAGTAGGTTTACTTTTCAGGAAATCCAAAGGGAAAAAGAAGCAAGACATAAGTAATAGATGGAGAATGGCACAGAATTCTGAAAAATACATTTACATGAGTAGTTAAATTTATGACTTATGATAAGGACTCTTCAGGTCAAGGGCTTCCCTGGTGGCTCAGTGGTAAAGGATCCACCTACCAATGCAGGAGACTCAGGTTCCATCCTTGCGTCAGGAAGATCCCCTGGAGAAGGAAATGGCAACCCAGTATTCTTTCCTGGAGAATCCCATGGACAGGGGAGCCTGGTGGGCTACAGTCCATGGAGTTCCAAAAGAGTCGGACTAAGTGACTAAACAACTTCAGTTCAGATGGAATTATAAGAAGTAGAAAACCCAGCAACAAAGAAATGTTTGCTGTAGGGTGTTATCACAGAGAAAATCTTTGATTCAAAAAACTTCACAATAGCATGAATTAGCTGTCTCATAGGTCACACCTTTGTGCACGTGGCTCAAATCATTTCCCAAAACCCTGCAGCTATAAGTCTTCCACGACTGTAGTCTACTCATGTCAAGACACAGCTTGTCTCATAAAAGACTTGTCTTCAAAAGACTCAGCAACTTCATAACAAACCCAGAGTAGGGGCCCACAGAGAAAGGGAAGGCTATTCCAGCAAGTTCAGCTAAATGCAAAACTGTCAGCAGGCGCTCCAGGCTAGCTGCACATTGGCTCCAGCACTGTATTTCTAATCATCTAAATATTTACTTTCAAATGGAGGACAAGAAGGCTCAGCATGACTTTTCCCTACTGAGAGAACAGCAGATCAAAAAACAAAAAAAGTATGAGTTAATGCTTTAAAAGCTACCATCTTCAGAAAAGAAAGAGTTCTAAGGATTTAATCACTAATTACTAATACTGTAATAGATCAGTGAATAGATCATATGCAAATGGATTAAATACTCCAATTAAAAAGACAAAGACTGTCAATTGGGTTATAAAAACAAACAAAATCCAGCTATACAACTGTGAGAAGAGGAACACACTTTAAGGAAAAAGGCACACAAGAAATAAAAGGATAGACAAAGAAATACTATGCAAACACTAATCAAAAGTAGGCTGATATAGCTATACTTATATTCAACAAAATAAGCTTTAAACAGGTAGTATATCAAGATGGGAGATTATATGACATTAGGAGTGATCCAACAGTGTATACACTGTGTATACAACTAACACAACCTCAACATCTATGAAAACTGGGAGATTCTGACAAAGCTGTCTTCATAACTGACAGAACAAGCAGATGGAAAACCAAACCAAAAAACCCGTACAGAAGATTCAGCTAAACTCCCCCCAGCTGACTTACGACACTAATGATGAAACTGCACAATGCATATTTGTCTCATGTACACATGTATATCTGAGGAGACCATATGCTTGAGCACAAAGCAAGTCTCAATAAATACTAAATACTGAAATAACAGAGTATGTTTTCTGGTCACAGAATTAAAGCAAAAAGAGAAAATCTCCATTTCTTTGAAAGTGAGTCAATGAACTTCTAAATAATCCCATGTCAAAGAGATATAATACTGAAGATCAAAAAAATATTTGTAGCTGAATAATGAAAATATAAGTGTGGGATGACAGTACTTAAGAGTATTAAAAAGAGCACTCAAAAAGCAGTAAACAGGAAATATATAGTGTTAGATGAACATATTAGACAAGAAAGCTGAAAATCAATAACCTAAGCTTTATCTCAAGAAGCTGGAGAAGGAACAGAAAAGTGAAACATAAGGAAGATAAAGGACACAAAAACAGAAATGAAACCGATAGAAAACCCAGAAATAAAGCCATGTACCTATGGGCACCTCATCTATCACAAAGGAAGCAAGAATATACAACGGAGAAAAGACAGTCTCTTCAATGAGTGGTGCTGGGAAAACTGGACAACTACATGTAAAAGAATGAAATTAGAACATTCTCTGACACACACACAAAAATAAACTCAAATGGGTCAAAGAACTAAATGTAAGGCTAGACACCGTAAAACTCTTACAGGAAAACATAGGCAGAACAGTCTTTGACATAAACTGCAGCAAGATCTTTTTGGATCCACCTCCTAGAGTATTGAAAATAAAAACAAAAATAAGCAAACGGGACCTAATTAATCTTAAAAGCTTTTGCACAAAGTAAACCACAAATAAAACAAAAAGACAACCCACAGAATGGGAGGAAACATTTGCAAACAAAGCGACCGACAAGGGACTAATCTCCAAAATAAGCAAACAGTTCATGCAGCTCTATGTCAAAAAAAAATAAACAACCCAATCAAAAAATGGGCAGAAGATCTAAATAGATCTTTCTTCAAAGAGAGACAGATGGCCAAAAAGCATATGAAAAGGTGCTTAACATCACTAATTATCAGAGAAATGCAAATCAAAACTATAATAAGGTATCACCCCACACCTGTCAGAAAGCCCACCTGTCACCAAAAAATCAACATACAATAAATGCTGGAGAGGGTGTTGGTGGGAAGGTAAATTGGTACAACCACTATGGAGAATAGGATGGAGATTCTTTAAAAAACTAAAAAATAGAACTACCATATCATCCAGTAATCCCACTCCTGGGCATATATCAAGAGAAAACTGTAATTCAAAAAGATACATGCACCCTCACTGTTCACTGCAGCACTATTTACAAATATCCATCAAAAGAAGAATGGATAAACAAGATGTGGTACAGATATACAATGGAATATTAGTCATAAAATAGAAGAAAATAATGCCATTTGCAACACAGATGGACCTAGAGATTATCATACTACGTGAAGTCAGTCAGACAAATACCGTGGTATTACTCATGTGGGAAATCTAATTTTAAAAAATGATACAAATGAACTCATTTACAAAACAGAAACACAGATTTTGAAAACAAACTTATGTTTACAAAAGGGAAATGCTGGAGGCAAGGGATAAATTAGGAATTTAGGATTAACATGCACACACTACTTTATATAAAATAGATAACTAACTAGGACCTACTCTATCACTCTACTCAATATTCTATAATAAACTATATGGGGAACGAATCTGAAAGAGTATTAATAAATGTATAACTCATTTACTTTGTTGTATACTTGAAACTAACAACACTGTAAAGCAATTGTACACCAATAAAATTTTTTTTAAAAAGATGAAGGAATGATGAGAGTCGACATCATGAAATGGAAAATACACACACACGAGAGAAAGTTCAAGTCAGAATCTGACTGAAAAGATTAATGAAATAAACTATAACAAAACTGCTCAAGGAAAATAAAGGTTAATACAAAAATGCTCACACTACTATGGGTATATATTTAAAATACATATTTAGGGGCTATAAGTATGAGTTTTCCTCCAAATAACAGGTTTTCAAGGTTCAGAAATATTCAAGACCACAGGTTTTCTAGGCTCAGACACCAGTAGAGACCATGATAAAAAAAGTTAGCATGTGGTTGATGTTGTTAGCCTTTGCACCTCAGACTGGTGTTTTTAGGGCAAATCCAAAACATTAAAGTTTAATAATGAGAATAAAGCACCCATATAAAATAGCAGCACATGCCAATCACCCTGCCTCACCTCTCCACTCCCACCCTCAACACACGTATACACATCCATAAATCCCTTAGACTGCTTAATTTTCTCCATGGCTTTTACAACCACGAAACAAGCTATATTTGTTGTCCACTCCTGCCCCTTCTCCCTCCAACTCCCAATGAGAAAGTAAGCTGAAGACAGGGAATGGTTTGTTTTGCCCTCTGCTATATCCATGCCGAGAACATTCCCCAACACAGAACAGATACTCAAGCAGTAACTAGCGGACTGGATGAATTATGTCCTCCTTTTTAACTATCAGTGTTGACTACCACCACAGTGTCCACAGCTGAGAAATGAAATCTCCTCTTGTTCCAAACCCGGTACCATTCATCCACACTGACTGAATTTTAACTCAGTCCTATTAGACTATGACATATACTATTTTTTAAGTTGTTCAAATCTAAGAAAAAATAGTTATAATTTAATCATATAGCCCAAGGCAACAGTGTGACACAGTTCCGGGAGCCACCATTCCTTTCACTATTATGGAATACCAATGACAGAAAAAGTAACTAGTTCAAACTAATGCTTATGGAAATGAGAACTCAAAAGACATCATCTAATAAAACATTTTTTAAAAATCTAAAAGTACCTTATAAAACTTGTGATGTACACATGCACAAAAGTTGCCATCAAATACTGACAATCAAATCTGTCCATTATCCCACCATGTCCAGGAATGGTGTTTGCAAAATCCTTCAGAGAAAACAAACAAAGAAAGAAACATATTAGTAAATTCTCAAAAATCACCTGCTGTAAAATTTCTATCTGTAAGTGTCTCCTTGGCATCATGGACTTCAAGGAACATACTTTACTATTGGATTTTCCTACTAAATATAAGGGCTTCCCTTATATTTAAGGGAAGGGTGGTTTACCATCTGGTGGCTCAGATAGTAAAGAATTCACCCACAATGCGGGAGACCTGGGCTCGATCCCTGAGTTGGGAAGATCCCCTGAAGGAGAGCATGGCAACACACTGCAATATTCCTGCCTGGAGAATCCCCATGGACAAAGGAACCTGGCGGGCTACAGTCCATGGGGTCGCAAAGAGTCGGACATGACTGAGCACCTAAGCACACACAAATACACACTTGTTAGAACATATCCAACAAATTTAAACCGTATCTTTGGGATATGTTAGAACCATGTTAGAATGATTACGGAATTGACCCACAGCTTTCTGTGTTGCTGTTTCCTTTTTAGGGATCCAACCCAGTGGAAGCAGCGGAGTCTGAACCACTGGACTGCCATAGAAGTCCCGAGCCAAAGCCTTCAAATAACACTACTTAAATATTCATCCAATCTAGTGCTAACTTTTTCCAGTTAATAAAACTTTTTCTAAATAAAAAGCACTATCAAGCTATTACTAATCGTATGCCCTTCTCTTCTGTTTTATTAGCAACTACTGGGAGGGTGCTATTTTAGTGTTGTTGACAGATGGACAACTGGTTCTAGCTCATGTTTATCTACTAGTTCTTACCCTGAAATAAATATTTTACTACTGTGATGAATATTTCTTAAGTGTTGGGGTAAAAAAGAAAATCAAAACAGCTAATTCATTTGGGACATGTTGGTCTACTAAATGACCAAATGGAGGGACTGGTTAATCAGCCTCTGCAAGTTGACCTTGAACAGATCTATCCACATGTGCCCAGGAAATGGAAATGACCAACTGCTCTTCTCATTTACTCAGGCAACCTGAAAAACCTCTAAAATGTAACAGCAATTATACCTTCATTTCAGACAGGAAAAGAAATCTCACCATTCAACAAGAAACCTTGGATCGGAGACCATTAAAGAAGATAAATGGAAAGCTGCCGCATGTGGCACACGGAGCTCAGCTCGATGCTCTGTGATGACCTCCAAGGCGGGATTGTGGGGGCGGAGGGCTGGATGGAGGCTCAAGAGGGAGAGGCAATATGTATACATAGAGTAGATTCATGTTGTTGCCCAGCAGGAACTAACAACATCGTAAGGCAATTATGCATGTGTGCTAAGTCACTTGAGTCATGTCCAATTCTCTCCAACCCCATGGACCATAACCCACGAGGCTCCTCTATTCATGGGATTCTCCAGGTAAGAATACTGGAGTGGCAATCCGATAAATAAATAAATGAAAACACTATTCTAAACATAACATTTCTCTCTTTGAAAAAATGATCGAAAAACTCTTGGGTTAATTTCTGCCAACACATTTCCTTCTGTCTCTCCCCTACTGACCCACGCACAGGAGAGCCTGGAGACTCAGTCCTGCTCTCCTGTCTGCAGCCTTTGCGGGCCTCTTGTCCTGCACAGCTACCGCTGTGGTTCTTTGTGGATATAAATGACCTCCCCCAGTAGGTGGTGAGCATCAGCACGACAACATCTCGCACATTTCTGTATATTACATACAGCCACCCAAGGTAGACTCTCCCCCGTTGCAAGTGCTCTCGGAGTTCAGGTACTTATTTCCCTGGGATCTGGCCCCATCCACCTCTGCAGTCTGATCTACTCTCTACCATGGCCATGCTCTTCTTCTTCACCTTCCCCCTGGGAAGGCTCCTCTGCTCCAGTGCACTCGCTGGAACCCCCGTCCTTCAATTTCTCTGCAGGACTCATCGTCCTTTCCCCAGATCCCTGCTCAAATGTCATCTCCTCAGTGAGGCCTGCCCTGACTGCCCACCTTCAGAAGCTACTCTAACTCCCAATGGCATAACATTCAATCTTAGTGAAGCCACGTGAGGAGAGCTAATAGGCCAATTATTTCACTTTATGAGATTCTAACTTAAAACACAGGGCTGATTTTAAGTATCTGGAATGGGGACCAGCAGACTATGTCCCACAGACCAAATCCAGCCTGCTGCCTGTTTTCTGTAAGTAAAGTTTTATTAAAACACAGCCACACCCATTCATTGACATTTTGTCCACGGGACTCTCTCACTACCATGGAAGAGTTCAGAGTTGAGTAGTTTGCAACAGCGCTACTATTAACCTATGACTTGGCCTTTACAGAAAGGGTCTGTTGCCCCTTGATCTGGCGAATCCACAGTCACAGATTCCAGGACTCTCCGGCACGTCCCTTCATATGAGACAGTGACAGGACACCACACTTTAACACAATTCATGGCTGGATTCTTGGATGAACAACTGAAGGACCAAGATTCTTTGTCTGTCCCAACATTAAGTGACACATGCCATTTCAAGAAGAGAGGGCGACGTGATACTTTAACATGCATTAACATGGCACGACCAAAACCTAACAGGAAAGAAGATACTCTGTGAGGCTGACACATATAGGGTGGAAAACTTTTTGCCCAGGGGCTTAATGTGGGAGACCAAGAAAGAACCAAATTCCAACCCTCTTACATTCTCTAATTATGTTCTATAACACTCTAACAAAGAATCTAAACACACACCTTGATTTTGAAAGCTCTTTTGAATCCGCTGGCAAAGAAGCCTCCAAATGGACCAATCAAAGATGCAAACGTGGAAAGAGCGATGCTGTGGATCTGGAAAGGATACATGCTCACTGTTTCCTAAAGAGGTTTAAAAAAAAAGGAAAGGGGTTGGAGCTAACTGCATGAGAAATGTATTTGAGCATGCCACCTAAACTAAGAACCATGAGATAAACAGTAAGTCAAAAGCATATGCCATATTCTTATTAAGTTCACAAATTTTCAAGATCACAGGAAAAAAATAAATGTTGTAAGCTCTTATTACTATCCTTTGTTTATTCAGCCTACACTCCCCATTCCCTCTGTAAGCATACTGAAAATACCTGGTGTGCTAAAATCTAAAATGTGCTTTCTAATCTGTCTAGAGACTTATACATCACTTGGGTTGTAGGATTATAAAAAAATCAATTAATTTCTGAAACTGTTTTTTACAGTTGTTTCTGTAATTACATAATGTATATTTTGATTGTTCATTTTATTTCACTTTAGTTTTATATGACAAAATGAGGGGAAAGTTGATCTTTCTTTTAAAATTAAGTTAAAAGCTGTGGAAACACCTGAAAGTAAAATGCTTTTTAAAAAGACTGCCAAGATCACCAGCCCAGGATGGATGCATGAGACAAGTGCTCGGACCTGGTGCACTGGGAAGACCCAGAGGGATCGGGTGGAGAGGGAGGTGGGAGGGGGGATCGGGATGGGGAATACATGTATATCCATGGCTGATTCATGTCAATGTATGACAAAAACCACTACAATACTGTGAAGTAATTAGCCTCCAACTAATAAAAATAAATAAATAAATAAATAAATAAAATAAAAATAAAAAGACTGCCAAAATGAGCACCAGGAAGACAATTATAAAAGATTTGGAGAGGAAATTATAAAAATCAAGAAGACTTCTGCAGTCAAATTATTTCGTAAATTCTTAGCTCTTATTCAACTTTAAATAAATTGAAGTTACACATTTTAGAAAGTGCATCATGGGTGTGATTTACAAAAGATCACGAAGAACTCCAATCTTTGGACTTGTTCTCAAAGCAATGGGCTTATCCCAATCAAAGATGGACAGAATCAAAGAATTCTATAGCAGATAACAGATGGCTTGAACACTGAAAAAATTCTTAGAATCAGTGTATCAAGCATTCAAGTAGAGAAATAATCTGTTGGTTAACCTTTTTTTCTCAAAAATTAACTTCAGTTAACAATTAAATGTTTCAGGGAATCCCTGAAACAGGTGGTCCAATGGTTAAGTGGTTTCCCTGCTGGGTCCTGGGTTCAATTCCTGGTCAGGGAATTAAGATCTAGCAAGCCATGAGGCACCACACACAAAAAAAAGTTTTAAATTGAGTCAATTTATACCAGTTACACATAAAACTCATTATAACTCATCATTGCTTTGTAGAAATCTAAAGGATGCTGAAAAATGTTTCTAAAACACAAATTACCACCAGTATTCAAACCATTAGGCAAGTAAGTTTCTAACAGAAAATTGGTTTGTGATAGCAATATTCATTTTATGTTCAAGAAGGGGAAACCCCAAGAGAATAGGATATACAATTGATAAATCTTACAACTGTGTATATATATACATATACATATATATACACTATATATATATATATATATGGTATACAATTGATATATCCTAGCAATTGTATATATATACAATTGATATATCAAGCAGTCAGTGAAACCACTTTTCTATTCTAGAGCTAAAAATTCTGTAGAAATTGATTTCCTATGAAAATCTTATTTCTGACTTTAAAGGAAGCTTAATCTTCGGGAGGGAGGATCCCTTCCACGTTTATCTTACCCGTCTCAACACTGCCTTCAGAAAGGGAGGAAGTGAGTAACTCTGAAGCCGAAAAAGTTCTGAGGGTTCACACTCTGTAACGAAGGAGTTTACATCACTTCGGTATTCCACTGGGCAGACAAAGTACTGGTATTTGGATAACACGTAAGCAGCCTAAATAACAAAGCAAGCGTTCATAAAACATTAAATGAAATAGGAATATGTATATATTAAATTTTTAATGTATATATGTTATGTGTCAGAAAGACCAGAAACAGAATGCCAAGTTTTCCTTGCATTCTCATTCTGCTATGTATATTTAAAGTTAAATGATCATAAGTGACACAATAAAAGACTTTGAAAAGCCGTCAGGAAACCAAAAAATTTTGAAAATCAGTGTTATTATAATCTTGGTATGATGACAACAAGAGGGAAGGGGGAAAAGATAAAAAGTTGATTTGAGCATTTAGACAACCATTATAGCAAGGTTGCACTTTTTTTAAGGATGTACTTAATGTCAACAGAAGCTAAGAATTATAAAGATATGGGACAGTACAGGGCTGAAGTTTCTTACATAAAGGTTATATTAATTTCATCAATAAAAAATAGCGAGTAATTCAAAATTGCTAAGAAAACAACATAGGTGAAAAACCCAGAAAATGCTTAGTGAATTATTCTTTCTCTGGACACATCCTTGCAATTTTTAAAGCTATCTGTTCTCAGCCACAGAAGAAGATACATAAAAGCAAAATATTATAAATTTAAAGTGCTAGTTCATTTCCTTTCTCTTACAGATACTTACACCATTATATTGCTCAAGAATAGTTAACAGAAGTGCAAATATAACACTGAGAATGGATATATAGTGATTTTGCTTCCAAACAACCAGTTTCCTCAAAATTACTTATTAAATATATATATATATTTATATATATATATAATTTCCCTTATTATTTTGTCATGCATTACATTCTTATAGGATAGCTCTTTATTTTCTTTGGGCCTATCCTTAGTCCTATCCAGTGATATGGCTGTTCTTGTAGAATTTCTAAATTGTGTTTAATGATACTAGATTCTTGTAGTAGTATTTAACTTAATAATATTCTAGTTATCCTTGCTTCATACTGTATAAACATTGGCTAGGACCAGGTCCCTTTCCATTATCCTATTTATCAATTATTATCTCATCAACATTCTACCAAATAACACTGGAATAATTTTTTAAATTGTATTGGAATTTTCATTGAGAACAAACTAAACTGATAAACAAAGGAATTATGATGGCCTTCCCATCCAGCCTGGCTCATTTCCATTTATTTGCGTATTTGCTCCCTCTCAAAGCCCCATGATGTTAGTAACTACCCTATATTTGGCTACAGAATATATTCTAGAACTGTTAAGGGACATGACTTAAAAATTAAACTTCCCGACAGTAATTTTTTGGTATATTCATCTTATATCCAGACATTTTTCTGTACCTTTTCTTGATTCTCACAAGACACCTTTGAATAAAAAACCTAAATTCCATAATTATACCCTATTTTTTAAAACATTAACAATATCTGCATTCACAGCTAAAAGTGAACATCGATTATTTTTAACAAACTTTTTCTGTAAACTGGGCTCACAGCCACAAACGCCCATTAAGTCAAGCAGCTGGCAAGTAAGTGTGAAGGAGGCAGAACTCTTCAACATCACTTGCAGTCTCTGCTTTTACTCAAAGCCACAGCCTGTCCCAGTCCTATCTGTGTCCCCCAAAGGCTGCACAGCTATTAGAAACTACCAGAACACAGCAGAGGGTCTCAAGCCCACCTGTGGATGAGAATCAGCTGAGGGAGTTAACTGACCTGGTGGAGGGCTAGGACAAGGATGGTAAAGAAGCTCCCCAGGTGATTCTGATACAAGCCAGGACGAGAGCTGCTGGGCTGGAGAATACAGGCATACCGTGTTCCATTGCACTCACTTTATTGTGCTTCCCAGGTTTTGTGTTTTTAACAAACTGAAGTTTTATGGCAACCCTGCCTCAACCAAGCCTAACGGCACCATTTTTCCAACAGCAGGACTGTAGTGGAGGAAGTAACTCCAAATGTGGTAAAATAGGAAAAGAACTGCAATTAGAAGTGGAGCCTGAATAAGGGATGAATTGCTGCAATCTCCTTATACAGCTTCCATGGATGAGGAATTCCTTCTGATGAATGAGTAAACAAAGTGGTTTCTTGAGATGAGCTCTATTCCTGGTGAAGATGCTGTGAAGACTGTTGAAACGACAACAAAGCCTATAGACTATGACATAAACTTAGTTGATAAAGCAGCGGCAATATTTGAGAAGACTGACTCCAATTCTGAAAGAAGTTATGCTGATGGCAAAATGCTGTCAGCACTGCATGCTAAAGAGAAATCATTCACGAGAGAAGACACAATCAACACGGTGTACTTCATTGTTGTCGTATATTTAAGAGATTACCAGAGCCACCTCAACTTTTAACAACCCCCATCCCGATCAGTCAGCAGCCTCAACATCAGAGCAAGGTTCTCCACCAGCAAAGAGATGCTGACTTACTGCGGGCTCAGACGGTGGTTCATTAGCATTGGGGGGGCTATGAAATATTTTAAAATTAAGGCATGTGCATTGTTCTTTAAGATATAGAGCCATTCCACACTTAAAGGACTAACAGTAAAATGTAAACATAATGTTTATACACACTGGGAAACCAAACACTCATGTGACTCACTTTAACCCCACTACTTGCTTTATTGTGGTGGGCTGGAACTGAAGCCACAGTTATCTTCCAGGTATGACTGTGGATTCTGTTGAGTGGGCTTCATGATTAGCATTTTATGGTTTAATGCTTTTAGCTTTAGAATAGATTAATAAACTTGCTACCATTTTTCAAAATATAAAAATCCGAGTAAAACTCACAATGAATCCAAAGATAACTGTGGAAAAGAAACCACCAATGAATCCTTCCCAAGTCTTCTTAGGAGACAACTGAAAAAGATATTTATTTTTTATATTAAATAAAATTAGAAAATAAAATTTAAGAGAGTTATTACACTCACAAAACACAGATACAGATGTTCAGTGAATTCCCATAATACCCTGTACACCTCTCCTTTTTCTCATATTGGAAAGACTTTGCAACACTTTCTCCTTCAGTCCATGATTGTGTTTTATTCGTGCAAATCTCTCTAGTAGAGCCTAACACATATTAGGCCCTCATACATCTGATATATCTTGAATATCTGTTTCTATAAACTGCCTCAATTTGTTTTCATCACTCAAAGGACTATAAACTCTATGCTGAAATAATTGTCCCATGATGTTCATGCTTATACAAACTCCCAGAATAATGGAGTTCTTGAAATCAGGCTGAGATCTATTCACTCTAAGTATACATGGTCTGTGTTGACTTACTGCTGATCAACAGTAGGATTAGTATAACAATACGTGGACACTGCAGAACCCCAGCCCGTCACATATTCCCAAATGCCATGCTTACAACAGACCTCCTACTGAAATGGCAAAATACGCCATAGCCCAGGTACAGATCAGCCCCACAAGTGGGCACATAATCTCCTTCCTTTGGTCAGAATATGTCATTCCCTATGAAGAAATATATTGTGCTTCTAAGGATACTTTTGTATACCTTTGCAATCTATTTCAGATTGCAATTATTGTTTATTAGTCCTTGGAGCATTCAGGAAGAGAAATCTGGAGGAAAGTCTTGAACTTGGTGAAACAGGGGCAGGAGAAAAAGATTTAGGAGTAGACGCTCTGGAAAATAAGGACTCGGTACGGGGTTCTGATCATCAGGAAAGCACTCTGGTGGACTCTCTAAGAACTCTTTGAGTGGATCAGTAAGGACGGAAGCCAAACAAATAACAGAGGGAAGATTCTGACATAGAAATGGGTAATATGCTTAAGTACATGAAGTCTCAGCCTGAAGTTTACAAAACACAAAGGCTTTCTTGACCAATCTGACAACAATTCCATAGGTAAGTGAGTGGTATACACCATCTGTTAGGATAATTCAGTATTACTGTCATGACACAGCAGCTGACTCAAATTCAAAAGTGCCTGCTGATTAAAGAGAGTTTATCAAATTAAATTGACCCTATCATATTGATTTCAGGGTTAACTTGCATAATTACATCTGGCTGCATTATACAACTAATTCAGCCTTGTAATTCACTAGAAATTGACGTTCAAAATCAGACAGTAAGAGTCTTCTACAGCCTCTGAGGGCTCCTGAGTCAACAACTTCTCAGCTGGTATAGAAGCCTTGACTACTTCACCACTGGCTCTTGTGCTGGAGCAACTTTAGAAACTTTAAAAATACATAGTTTGCTGGCCAGTGTCCCTACAGCTCAGCAGCTCAGCTTGATGTTGTGTACTGGACTCCTATGTGGGGAAGAATTTAAGGAAGGTGTTTTTGAAGGACAGGCAGTCCACACACTCCTCTGGGAATGATAACTATCCTTACATCACTCTGAACAAACAGGTTTTCTATCTGAATAATTGTCTCAGTTCCTCCAAAAATGCCTTCTTGTCATAACATCAAAACAGCCACTTAATGCATTTGTGGGAATGTCATAAATGACCTGGGCCCAATACATAAACCAAGTAATTCCTTTATAAGCCCCAACATGAAAAGTATTTTTTTTTTAATTTTTTGAAGAAACCAGTTCTATAAAATGGTCTGTCTTTATATGAGAAACTGATTTCTTTTTTACCCCAGATGGGAACTTATAAATTACTTCACTTCCTTTTTTGCCTCCATTGACTATGGTGCTGTGCTAAGTCACTATAGTCGTGTCCGACTCATTGCAACCCCACTAACTGTAGCCCACCAGGCTCTTCTGTCCATGGGATTCTCCAGGCAAGAATGCTGGAGTGGGTTGCCAAGCCCTCCTCCAGGGGATCTTCCCGACCCAGGGATCGAACCCTCGTCTCTTAAGTCTCCTGCATTGGCAGGTGGGTTCTTTACCACTAGTGCCACTTGGGAAGCCAAACAGAAGCAAATCTAACACAAAACAACATGGTCTCCTCATGTGTATTTTCCGGTCTCTGATCTTCACTTTTCCTTATCACTTCCATTATTCATCAATGTTTTTTATTGTAGAACCTCAATTTTTTTTTAAATGAATTTGGATATAAAAGTCTTGCAAATGCATATGAGTATGTGATGCTGGTATATTATACACCCTCAAACAACTCAGTAAAGGAGGAGACAAATGAGATGGCTTGAGAGGAAGGCAGCGTCAAGGACAGGCCTGTTTAGAGGGTTGTTGGGGAGAAGAATTAAAAAACCACATGACAGCCAAGGGAAAGAAGCCAGCAGAAAATGACATGAGCCTTCACGAGAGAGGATGAATGACAGAGGAGTCAAGAGAACAGCTGGTGAATAACCCAGACGGAATCACTGGGAAATACAGACTTCTGCCCTCAACACTGTGGGTGCTGAGGGTAGCTAAGGAAAAGCAAAGTGCCTCAGAAATCAACAATGTGTAACAGCACCAAACTATTGGGAATTTTTCCCAGTAGCTAATCATCTAGGTTATGGTAAGGACTTGTTTGTGGTGTTTTTCCATTACCTTAATTAACGGAGTTCTTCCAAAAAAAAATCCAAAAATGTAAGCAGTTATGTCATTGCAAATAACACTTGATATTGGAACAAGGAACCTTAAAAAAAAAAAAAAGTCAGCAGAAAGAAGTCTGTAAGATTAAATGGCAAATATTTACACATGTTTTGACTCAATGAACCAATGCAATAACCCTTTGGATGACACTGCACCCTAGTCTAGAACATAACACATGCTAATAGATGGACAGACACAATAAATATCAACCAAATATGCCCATTTAGCAGTTAGGCAGAACAAAATCTATAAACATACCAGAAGAATATTGCTAGTGAAAATATTAAATAATCAATTTCTATAGCTATGGACTTTCAAATTTCCATTTTATGAGGAATGCCAACTAAAAACTCACTTGCCATCTGGCTCTACAAGTATTAGGTCACTAGTCACTGCCATTGCTGACCTCTGCTGACCTTTGACACATCCTGAAAGGAGTTCAGGGCAAAGATCAGGAGTGAGGCACTCTGTGCTCCAGGAAAAACTGGCAGAACAGGCCCTCAGAGAGTTAGACATTTTTTTAGGAGGAGATTTTATGAGGCCAATTTCTTACATCAGACTCACTCTCATATCTAGAAAAGCACTGAAATCATTAACAGAGACAGCTGCTCCTCGTGATTGGTAGCAACCTTCTGCCAAAATGCGTGCTTGATGGTATGTGTCCCCTTCTCTAAAATCATATGTGTCCTGACCTCCCCTCTGACCTCCTTAGAGCAGTTCCTCGGAACTATCTGAAAACCTTTCTCAGAGTTATCTGAGAAACTGTCTCTCAACTATATAGTCCTCATCTGGCTCCAAATAAAACTTAACTCACAATTCTCACATCATGCATCTTTTTTTTTTTTCAGTCAATAGGAACACGTTACATTAGTATAAAGAAATTTTTAAAAGCAGCCTTTCAAAATAGAAATGAGTCAGTCAGAGTACAATCTGATAAACTTACACCAAGCTCTCATCCAATTATCAGTTTTAATGTTATCTTAGCCTTAAATTAGCATTAAACCCTACTAACTGTACAGAACCTACTAATTTCAGTGATTGCCTCCCATCAATGAAAAGTTTGTATATGGAAGGCAGTCTTGGAATCTTCCATATGATTCCAATCATTCCAAAAAATGATTCCAAGTTTTTGCACATACATACCAAAAAAAACCAATCTGTCAAGGGAACAAATTTATCTTGACTAAACTTACCAACTATAAAAGTTTTTAGTTACTGTGTTTTAAAGGAATGTGGAGAAAATATGGTCAGATTTTTTAAAATCTTAGGTTTTTCTCCACTCTTATTTTTAGTGAATAATAATTGTTTTAACTTAAGCTAATTTTTAACTAATAAAAATGCTTTCTCAATCTGCAACCCACTCCAAGTAGGTTACTAGCAAGTAACTCCAAATACTTGAAACCTGGATACTCTACACCTACACAAAGGCAGAGAAGAACTAACCCACCTTTCACCCAAAGAAAATGCATTGCCAGCTCACTGTCTGCTGAAAAGCAAACTTTCCCCTTCTTTTTGCACTCCACATAAAGAGTACACTCTTTTTACACTCAATTCTTTGTTTTTAAAAAAGAGTCATATTAAAGTGTAGTAACACCTGAAAATGTATTTAATTATTTGGAGCTTTTATGAGGGTTTTCTGCATTTTACTGGAAACCTGAAAAAGGAAGTTTTCCAGTTGATAACAAAGCATTTGTCTTCAGTTGTCAAACAGAAGTGAAGTTGCTCAGTCGTGTCTGACTCTTTGTGACCTCATGGACTATAGCCTGCCAGGCTCCTCCATCCATGGGATTTTCCAGGCATGAATACTGGAGTGGGTTGTCGTTTCCTTCTCCAGGGGAATCTTTCCAACTCAGGGATCGAACCTGGGTCTCCTGCATTGCAGGCAGACTCTTTAAGGCCTGAGCCACCAGGGAATCCAGTCAAACAATTAAATGGAACTTATCTTAATGGAATAGAGTGACAACAAATAGGACATTTTAGTAGAAATCCCCGTAAGACACTGTTCAGCATAAAAGAGCTTTAAAAGTGCTATAAAGATATATAAATATAAAGCAGCATATGCTGCCCCCTTACCATATCATGCCTTCAAACAGATTCTGGATGACAAGATGTGACTGAGTAACCGTTATCAGCAAGGTGACATGTGTCCATGCGAACTGTTAACAGCCCAACAACACAACAGTGATGAGCACGAGAGATCGGGGCAGGCCACGAAGCAACAGCAATTTTGAAACGCAAATTTCTAGCACGACTACTGGCCAAATTTCATAAGATAAGGTCATACAAAATAAATGCCATTAGTAAATTACCTTCATTTTGGTGCCTCCTGATACCTGAGAACCATGAAAAATATTCAACAAAGTAACCTTAATTTATACAAAAATGGAATGCTAATAATTCCGAGCTACACCTCTACATTTAAAAAGACATATTAAAAAATAAACCATCATCTTGAATCATGAGATTAAAGTGATAATGACAAGTTTACAGTACTGCTATGGCATTTAGATAAGAACTAAAATTTTACTCTGACTGCATTCTCTAGTTACTAGAAATGCTGAAAATGATTTTTCCCTGAGTTCACTATGGTTAACACTTTCCCATAAAGAGTTATTTATAACTTCAAATGATTCAAACCAGCAGGGATCAATTGCCCTTAAATCCAATCTTTTCATACTTGAAAGCTGATCTTCACAGCTCTGTTCAATGACAATATTCCATTTTAAATTGTCAAAAGGCCTCTGTTTCATCAATCCCATCTATCCTGAGAGACAACCACTTTAGCTACTTTTAGCATCATTAATATGAGTAGAATAACAAAAAGGGCTAATATTTCTATGTATTAGTCTCATGATTTTTTTTTCTTTTCTTACTGCACAGCATGTGGGATCTTAGTTCCCCAATCAAGGATCAAACCTGCAACCCCTGCACTGGAATTGTGGAGTCTTAACCATTGGATCACCAGGGAAGTCTCTCACAATTTTTACCGAAAGTTATAAAAGGACTTTTCAAAATTCTTATGATTTTGATTTATTCATAACAAACCTATCTTCCATTGCAGCAAACAGTGTATTACATTGGTTGCTCTGTTTTGTTTTCATCTGCTTAAGTGATCCAATTCTGTCTTAGATTGCTTCAGTATGCATAAATGATTTTTCCCAATAGGTACCATTTATATTTTCATAGTAGATTCTATTATTTCTAATTTGTCTTGATGGTTTCTAGATTTTCACTGAGAATTTTACCATTTTTGTTCCCTCAAGAACCCAAGAAATTAGAAATGTATAAGAAACACTATAATTTTCCAGCAATGGTGCTCAGCAGGATGTCTTAGCGGGGAAAAGCAAAGCATGAAGAAAAGGAATTATACCCCAAATTCACAACAAACCTAGCAAATACATTAATTTATAGATACTACAATTGTCATTTTACACTCTTATCATTAGCTACCGTTTAAGAAAATAAGAGGTCATCATATACAGTGATACTTTTCATAAGACACTGAACACTGTTCAAGGATACACTGAAGGAAATAGTTCTGGCCAAAACAAATCATGCAACTGTAGCTACCAGAAAAAAGTAAGCTAACCATAGCTACCAGGAAAATGTAAGCTCTGTACCCCTTATGCCTAGGCTAAGCACAAGTAAACATAGGTCCCTCCCATACAAATATATGATAGATGTTTCTGAGACTTATTAACTGTTCAGGAGACTATGGAAACACCTCAAATTTCTACAAATTTAAGGAATCCACATACTTGACTTAAATTTTACAGCCTTTGAAAATATTGAAAGGAAAAATTTGGGGGAAACTTTCAAAAGTTAAAAATTCTGAATCCTTGAAAAAATTTCAGCTTCAAACATTTATAAATATTAGTCATCCAAAATTCAAAAACCCCTCACATACAGGCAATTAGCAGATTAGATCCTATTTTCTCACTACAGAAAAAAAAATAATAAAGGTGAAGGTTTTTATTACATATAGTAACTACAAAATAATGGTTAATACGCACCATATAAAACTGCAGACGGTAATGCTTCTTCACCAAGCTCAGCACAAACATGCAGAAACCTGTTCAAGAACAAAAACATGCACCTGTTGTGTAACCTGTTACAAATTTTACGATTCGATGAGTTCATATAAGCCAAATTTCTATACCACATCTAGCTATATGTTGGCTACTCACTCATACACCATCTCTCCTACTCTTATATTATTGCTGAGTCACTAAATCTTGTCCAACTCTTTGCAACCCCATGGGCTGTAGTCTGCCAGGCTCCTCTGTCCATGGGATTTCCCAGGTAAGAATACTGGAGCGGGTTACCATTTCCTTCTCCAGGGGATCTTTCTGGCCCAGGGATCAAACCCTGGTCTCCTGGACAGGACTCTTGTATCAAGCATTTTAAATAGAAGTTCCTTGAGGGAAATGATCCTGTATTCTCCAAAATGCCTGATATAGTCTATGCCATAAATTCAATAAACATCTCCTACATTAATTAAGTGAGTCAGTCCCTTGCTAATGTGTGAACATGGAAAATTGGACCCTGAATTTTAGTTCACTAAAATGTATTCATTGTTATCAGTCCATCAAATATATATATAGAATGTTTAAATCTCTACATAAAATAAAAATTAATAATTATTATAGCAGCTAACATCTTTGAACACTTATTATGTTCCATGAACTTGTCTAAGCCTTTTATAAGTATTAACTCATTTAATCCTTCCAACATTCCTATGATGTAGTTACCTATTATTATCTCCATTACAGATGAAGAAAAATACACAAAGGATTTTATTAATTTACTGTGGATCATGGAGCTAAAAAGGAGTTAAACCCTTAGATTCTATTGACCCTTAAGAGTCATGTGGTTCCATAAACCATTATCCTCAAGATTCAGGTTAAGAGTGATTCAAAAATTCTCAGAAGCATATTATGATGATTACAGCAAAACAAAATACTCTTAACAATTTCAAGATGCACAGACAGTGTTTGTGTTTCTGTCTATAGTCTATACATCAATTACAATAAAATTTTACTAAATAAAAATTCTACCTAATGAACTTTTGTTGTTACTTTAGTTGCTAAATTGTATCTGACTCTTTCACAATCCCATCCACTGCAGCCCATCAGGCGCCTCTGTCCATGGGATTCTCCAGGCAAAAATACTGGAGTGGGTTGCCATTTCCTTCTCTAGGGGATCTTCCAGACCCAGGGGTCAAACCTGCACCTCTGGCATTGGCAGGCACGTTCTTTACCAATGGGCCACCTGGGAAGCCCACCTAATGAAGCAGAAATCTAATAATTATATGTTAAATAATGAGGAGGCACTATGATACACTTTTTTGCCCACTAATCAGTAAAGTGGGCACTACATCACTACATCATTATTTTGAAGTTTTTTTTTTCTTTTAACAGAAGTAAATGTTAGAAATGCATGAGCCAAGTTTAATTTCAGCTAAATAGCCATGCATGCATTCTATTCGGCAATACCTTCAGAGCATGAGTTCTCTGAGACAGAAAACAAATGGTCAACTAATCTATCCCATGTGAAATAAACACTAGGCTTTGCGTATCTAAGATGTACTTACCAAGGGAGCTCTACCCATTAGAGCAAGCGAGGTTGACACTACTCTGACCAGAGCACGGAATCAGCCCACAGCCTGCACCTAGTTTTTGATGACTGATTTGAAATCTCAGTGTAAAGGGTGACAGTAAAGGAAGGGAATGCATCCTGGCTCCCAGAGCCTATCTCACTTCCTATTTGCCACCTGTAGAATCTGACTGGTTCAACTGCAAAAGGCATATGGAAACATTTTCTGAGTGGCGGCGAACTGAGACATACGTCACTTTCCTCAGAGAAAGAAAGGAAGCAGGGTGGGGAGGGGGCACTAAAACACAGAATTCGTGGCATTAAAACCACCTGTAGCATAAACGACTTGCTTTTAAAATCACTGCTTTTAAATTTTTCTTCAGTAACAGGGAGATTTCTTTTGTGGCTTAAGAAACAGTGAAATTTCTATGCTGCTTTATGCCTTTGGTCCACGGTTACAGGCGAACGTAGACTGGACTTGGTTCAGAGGCTAATGGGGGCTTCCCTTGTGGCTCAGCTGGTAAAGAAACCGCCCACAATGCGTGAGACCTGGGTTCGAGCCCTGGGTTGGGAAGATCCCCTGGAGAAGGGAAAGGCTACCCACACCAGTATTCTGGCCTGAAGAATTCCATGGACTGTATAGTCCCTGGGGTTGCAAAGAGTCAGACACGACTGAGCGACTTTCACTTTCAGAGCTAATGAGGTAAAGGCAACTCAGAAGCAAGACTGAGCTAAAAGCCTCCAGGACCTCCCCTTCTGTCGAAAAAGACCTTGCTGGCTCTCCCAGCACAACCTTGGGAAATTCTCAACATCATTAATTATGAATTATCTCCTCACGAACACTACTCCAACATATATGGTTTTCTTGTTCTTGGAATTATATACCACTCACCCTTAAGCACTTCTTCAAGCAAAATTACCAGCAGATTCATTCAATACTTTCCTGATGATCATTTTATCCAGGACAGTCTTGGCAACTCAGTTTTACCTGATCCAATTTTATGGGTAAATACACCAGTAACACACTGCATTTTAGGGTGTTCTAATAAAGGATATAACTATCTGACTCGTGGATGTATTAAAATAATACCATTCTTGGAATCTGGGGGAGGAGGATGTAAACTGTTTTCCTAGCATATCCAAGGTTAAACATTATTGTCAAAGAAAAATAATCCAAAAGAGACACATGCATTTACTTCTTCATTCACAGCCATTTTCTGTTTAAATGGAACACATACATGCTATATTTCAATAAATCTATGGAAAGGATAACTTCACATATTTGGATCCATAGTTTTACTTTTTCCCCAATTAATAAAGAACATTTTTATGGTTATATTTAAAATTAAAATCATAGGATTTGTTAAAGTAGAATGTTCACTGAAAAAGTTTCCTAACATACAGTCTTGATATATAACTATTTTTAGTCACACTGACCTATTACCAGTTATACACATAGCACTGTGCCTGGGGCTGTCAGTGCAAAGAAGGATATATCTTGTGGCCCAAGATCAAGGAGTTCCCAGGAGGTTAGGGAGACCAAGTTCCCCAATAGACTTAAGAGAGGTATATTCAGAAAGCATAAAAAAGAATGAGATGTCTAAGGAGTGAAGTGAATTGAAAAAGAAAAAAAGACATTGAGAAGTCCAAAAGATGTGATAGAGGGAATTTCAGAAAAAGTAGACAATTGAAAAATATTTATTGAGCACTTAAGATGCAGACACAAAATACACACACAAAAAAATGGATAAGACAGTCATTCCACTCAAGGAGCTCATACTTTAATTGAAGAGACAGAAAATATAAAGAAATAATAAAGTTTTTAAAATTTCTTATTGTTGATTAACCAATTCAGTAAACACATGCAGTCCTTAACTCAAAAAACAAAGACAGACGCAGGACAATATACTGGAGGTTACTGACTCATCGATTACTTTTTTACGTGGCTGTATTTTTCATTACACTTCGCTAACTAACCAAAACTTTGAAATGTTTCAAACATCGTATTCAGCAATTCAGGAGCACACTGCTTTGTGTGTTGCCATATTCAGACACTAGAATACAACTGAGGTGTTTTAAAGAAGTTTAAATATGCAGTGTAGAAATTCACACAAATCAACCATTATATTAGCTAATATACGGGGAAAGTTTTCCTTTAATCTGCATAGTGAGCTTAAGGTATAAAACAAGACTGATATGTAAATAGTTTATAATCATGTTTAATTAAAAAGCTGTAAGTGGAAAGGCTTCCCTGGTAACTCATGGTAAAGAATCCACCTGCCGATGCAGGAGACACGGGTTTGAACCCTGGTCCAGGGAGATCTCACAAGCCATCATGGAGCAACTAAGCCCATGAGCCACAGCTACTGAGCCTGTGCTCCAGAGCCAGTACGATGCAACGAGAAGCCCACGCGCCGCAACGAGAGAGCACCCCTGCTCACGGAAATTAGAGAGCCCATGCAGCACCGGAGACCCAGCACAGCCAAAAACAAACAAGCAAAATTTATGTATATATATATATATATGGCTTCCCACATAGCTCAGTTGGTAAAGAATCTGCCTGCAATGCTGGAGACCTGGGTTCGACCCCTGGGTCGGGAAGATTCCCTGGAGAAGGAAATGGCAACCCACTCCAGTATTCTTGCCTGGAGAATCCCATGGACAGAGGAGCCCGGTAGGCCACAGTCCACAGGGTCACAAGAGTCAGACACGACTTAGCTCTAGCTTTCTTTTCTATACACACACACACACACACACATACATAAACTATAAGTGATTTTGGAGATACAGTCCTTTATGAACAGTGATTTGTGACATCTTTCAAAGATTTCATCTACATCCTTTGATATGAAACATATACAGGATGTCTGAAAACAATTCTTAATTGTGGATTAATTTTAGCCATAATTTAATCTTATACTGTCCAGTGATTTTTCTTGAACTCAAAGTATTATATTCAAGTCACAATGTCTCCTTAAGGGTTTTAAAAAAGAAGTCAAAATAGTTAGCCATGCACAAATACAAGCAAAAAAACCCTGACTAAACATAATATGCCTTTAATATGCTTCTCACTAGTTGGCTAAAGAGATCTTAAGGTGATGATACTATGGGTCCAACATCTTAAGCTTATTCACCTGTCATTACCAGACATGTAATCACATGGTTGCTCTTGTTTCTAAAGAGCCCCAAATCCAAATCATCAAGATCTTTTAAAAATATATCCAGACTCTAGAGAAAATGTTGTCTCTGATGTTTGTTTTGCTATCAGACAAGTTCCTTTTACAACAAAATTATCTGAAGTGTCAGAATGGCTTCTGGGTCCTAGTCAGTGGGTCATCTGGGATGATGTTAAATGAGTCATTTAATCTGCTGGGCCTTGGTGAGTAGGTCAGACCTGGATATAGGTACATTTTGTTTTAATAAAATTCAGCATCAATGAAAAAGCTTGTGTGGTCTCTGCTTTTTATATCTGTTAAG